ACCATGGTGCGCCTTAGTATTATACCTTGTTTTTTTTTTGCTGAGGTGAAAGCTTCATCATGAAATGTGTTATTTGTAGTAGTGCAACACTAATTGTCTTAGACACTTGCTTAAGAAATTTTTGGGCAATTAAGACATTTTTTGGTCTAAGTGAAGCCATGTGCCAAGCATGCATACTAGATTGTTTAGCATCGATAAGGACATTTGTCTCTGAAATCAAGATTTTATTTCTTCCAAAACAGTTGCCCATAAGAGGCCAATATTCAAGGAAATATGGACAAAGTATGTTATTCAATTTTAATTCAAATATTTGTACATTAGATCTTAGTTGCACTTAGTTGTTTTCTTTATTTGCAATTGTATTTAACTAGTAGTAGTCTTAGTTCTATTCGAACAATGCTCAATAATATTTAATTAATCCATTAAAAGGGATTGTAATAGAAAAAATTGTATTGCACCCTTGTACTTTCTCCCAAGTCCTGTGCGAAATATCTAAAATGTTCCCTATTTTCAGAGATGTATCTCTGGACGCACTAAATCTCCATTTTAACCATAGATTAATTTGGAGATGTATCTTTGAAGGGAATTGTAGGTTGTATTCAAAGATAGATCTCCGGATTAACCCTTTTTTAAAATTCAAAAAACTATTTTGGAGATGCATCTCCGAACTAGGTGAGCATATTTAAAGCTTGCGTCAGACTCTCCCTCTTCTCCTTCTTCATTTTTCAGAAACTCAAAATTTTCTCTCTACCTCACTCTATCCATTTCCATTTTTCACTCAAGATAAAGTTTTGAAGTAAAAATTACTTGTATGTTGTCATTCCCAACTCCCTCTAACTACTGCATTCAACATTAGATCACTTTACACTCTCATCAACACATTTTTAAGTAAGTTTCTCATTTAACTTATTTTATTTTTGATAAATATATTAGCTCAAATAGGTTAGTTTTAATTCATTAGATAGCATTAGCATTTGAAATAGATTATGTGTAGACTCTGTTTATATGGTTTGGATGAGTTTGGATGATACTTGGATGGTTAGGGAAGTTGCAGAAAAGTTTCTGCTATTAAAGTTGAATGAATCTTTTTTTCGGAGATGTATCTCCAAAGTGCTCTGTTTTAGGTTTTCAGATATACATCTTTGAACTATTTCCTTCCTCATATACTAATCTCGTTTGTTATGTTTTTTCAAGGGTTATGGATGAAAACAACGAAAGGTTAAGACTCGGGAGACCCACCCTAACCTCATCAGCTCTTCGCAAGAGGGCTCGTCAACATGAGCCGGCTAGAGTCGCCCCCCCTCTACCTCATGATAGGGAGGCGTCGACCTCTAGAATTTGACTATCAAGAGGTTGTGATCACAGAGTCGTGTGCACCATGATGAGGAAGGTTGCTTGATCACTCTAAGATCATCAGGGTTGATGTATTGGATATGATGGTGGATTATTTGGGAGCTGACCATGTGGAAGCCTTTGAGCCGTGTAGGAGCACCAGGGGTGCACATGCTAAGTTTTCTTGGTTTGCGATATTGTATGGCAACAACTTTGAGATGGCCAAACACTCGGACGTTGATGATCTTTGGGTTTCCTACCACAGAGAGTGTGCCCTGAGGTGTTTCGTCATATTTTTGGTTGGAACGTCCATGTTGGTGGAAAAAGGTGAAAACTACGTGGATGTGGCTTACCTTAAATATTCCATCGACTTGAATTCCATTCACGAGTGGAATTGAGGGGTCGCGTGCTTGATTTACTTGTACTTGAATCTAAGTGAAGGTTGTAAATAGAAGACAAAGCAAATGACAGGCACATGCACCCTGCTTACGGTAATTTCCAAATCCTACTATTAAGTCACAAATAACTTTTTTCACACTTATTACTAATATTTTTTATTATTCGTTTGCAGGGATGGATCCTTGCCCACTATCACCGCATTGACGGGTTTAAGCGTAACCCGTTTTATACTGATGATTATCCATTTGCTTGTCGTTTTATCCATATTTAAGGGAATGATACTATCTTGATGTTACGTGTGTATATTGATTGGACTCAACATGATGACATTGTCTGGATGCCATACATTACTCACCGAGAAAGAATTCCTTTCGACCATATTTCCTTATACTCTTAATGGTTGGAATATGGGACTAATATCATGTGTGGGTATATTTTCGAGCGATGCATGCGACATTTTGGATACGTACAGATCATTCTGAGGTCCCCATCCTGGCTGCTCCTATCAGTATTGTCCATAGAGAGTTGGATGACATTCTGGCGGATTTTGAGAATCGTCTAATACTGGAGGAGTATCGAAGTCAGGAAGCCACATTTCAGTGGATTTATGTTGAAGGTTATATGACTTGGTTATATAAAGTGTCACGGCCTTACATGACACAAGACGCTCCTGAACGTCCACCTAGGCCTGCTCATGAGAAGATCCATGAGAATGAGCATACCAAGGATGATCTTGTTGTTAATGTTGATGTGTTGCCCATTTGTCAGTCTATCATGTTGATAACTTATGAGGGTATAGAATTTGGACTATTCGAGAGAGATGGTGATGAAGCAGTTGCTCTAGCACGTTTCATTCTCATCGAGGCACAGAGTGTCGTGCGTTACCATAAGCAGAAGAGGATTCAGAGTGTTAAGATTCATACTCGGTGATTATGCTTTTGATTATATTTTGTTTATTTTTCATCGACTTGGAGAATAATTATTGTACTATTATAATATTTATGATATTCGTTTGTATAATATTTTATTTTATTATAATATTCATTTTTAATAGTTAAAGAAGCTTTATGAAAATAATTTGGAGTTAGCCAAGGAATGCGACGACGATGAACTATAGGTTACATACCACCGGAAGTGTGCTTTGAGGTGTTTCCTCCTGTCCTTGATTGGCACGTCTATATTTGTGGACAAAAATATAACCTAAGTAGATGTGGCATACCTTAAGTATTTTATCAACTTAGAGGTCATTCACGAGTGGAACTGAAGGGTTACATGCTTAATATACTTGTACTCCAAACTGGGCGAAGGTTCTCTTTGAACGACAAAGTAAATGACAGGTTTCTGCATCCTGATGACGGTAATTTCCATATTTACTATTAATTTTAAAATAAAACTTTTTACACTTGTTACCGATGTTTTTCTTATTTTCAAAGATGAATCATATATCTCATTTTCACCGCATATAGTGGTTTGATCATGTGGTAAGGTATACTAAAGATTATCCTCGTGTTTGTCTGTATTGTCCGTGTAGAGGAGATGATGTTGTGTGACTATATTTTAAAAACTGGATCGAACCGATCAGTTCAAATTGGACTGAGAATCGAAGATGATATGGTCGGGTTAAAACTGCAATAAAACCAAAAAAAAAAACTAGGTTGAACCGTTTAAAACCGTTTGAACCAAAGAACCAGAGCCGATTTTGTAAAATCGCTTGGTCCAAAAAATGCATCAAATTGATTCTTTTTTTTTTAAATTTAATATATTAATATCAAAACTTAAAATATTCCCCAATCACAAATATTCCTTATTTTTTTTCTACAATCATACAAACTTCTAAATTTTATCACTCAATTATAGTTTTTCTTTCAACCACCCACCATCATCATCACGTCATCTCTTTCAAACATAGTCACGTTGTCCAACTCAATATTGATTGTCGTTCAAGTCAATATTTTTAGTCATTATCAATTACTTATTTATCGTCGTTTAAATTTGTTTATTGTCGTTCAATTAAATATGTTATATAATTTATTTTTGGCCATTCTATCTTATTTTATTTAGATATTTCTTAATTATTTGAATTTTATCTTAATTATTATGTTCCATAATTTTAATTTTAATTTGAATTAGTTTAACTTATTTTATTGTAATTTTTTAATTTGTTCAAATTACAACACAAATGGATTTTGAAATATTTATTTTTATTAGGTTGTGAACAAATGATTGTGTGTGACATATCTAAGAAAATAATTTTCATATTATTAATTTATTTAATAAATAGTTCAACCGTAGATTTATCCGATTGAACCAATTAAACGTTAAACTGAATGTTTCACCTGTTCGATCTTCGGTCTGATTTTTAAAACATTGTTGTGCGGCCATTCCATGTATATATTGATAGGACTCAACATGATGGCATCAACTAGACACCATAAACTGGGACACTATTCCCTTCACCCCCATATTACTTAGGATGGCTGCCATGTGGAAGCTCTTTGATGTACACCAAGTATCTGCCTATGCGTCAGTTTTAATATGTGCAGATCATTTTGAGATATTGACAGATGAATCTCCGAACCAATTTTTGACAAATAATTTATGATGCGTTCGGAGATACATCTCCGAATATTTCTGAGGATATTTTTGAATATTCAGAGGTGAGTTTCACTATACAAGAGTAGAAAAAGAAATTGCCAAAAATAATCGGATTTGTAAATATGGCATCTGCTAAAGGCATAGCCAATCCAATGGGTGACATAATAGCATTTTTTTTTATCTAATAGCCTAGTGGTTGGAACCCACGTCCCTGGAGTTGGGTAAAAAACATGAGTTAGCACAGGAGTAACCGAGTAATGATGAACTTGAAGAAAAGAAACCAAACCTGTTGCAATGCAAGGATGACGGTACGGTAACAAAATATATCAAAGAGCTACTATATTTCAAGCTATTTTATTATTATTAAAACAATGGTTACAAAATATGAATAAATATCAACTACCTAGGAATATGAGGGGGGAGACTGTACATGATTGATCTTAATATACTGCAGCTATAATGACATAGTTTTGTTTCAACTCCGTATCAACATTTTGGTTGTTGCTGCAAAACTTGAAGATTGGAGAATATATTAAAATGGTAAACCCAAAATGGAAGAAAATAGGGTACCATCATCGGCCAACCTTATTTACGCTCACAATAAGCCAGTATGTTCAAGACTCCGCAAAATATACTAACTATGAGAGTCTGCATCAACACTACCTACCGGAGAATCATTGCTTGATCAAACGAAGTTGCCAATTACCCTCACCATCAATCAGCCGCAATTCCATTGAATGAAATGGTATTAAAGCAGGACGCTGAGTACAAGAGACAAGACAGTTAGTTTGAACAGATTTGGAATTGGATGGTTATAGTTAGTGTTTAATAACTGACTTTGCTAAAACTGTATTAAAAATCATAATTATGTGCAGAGAAGGAATGTGTGTCTATGATCTTTTAAGTAATCCTATATCAAGTTAAAGTACTTGTTGTATCCGTTGTAGTGAAACAATGAAAACCAACTAATGATCCGCTCTTAATACTCTAAGCTTGGCTTGTCAAAAAATTTAAATGACATTTTTAAAGTAAAATCTTACTTGTGAGGAAGTAATAACTGTGATATCCATTTTCTTCGCTAGCCCATATAGGTGTTCTTCAACGTCAACACTTGTTGCACTGCAATAATTTTTTCAGGAAGAGAGAAAAACAAGGTTAACACCAAATATTAACAATTCCTTTAGAGAAAAAAGGCAGAGATAGATCATACTTACTTGGTACACTCGTCCAAGATGCCAAACTTGGGCTTATGGAAGAACAACCGTGCCTTCAGAACAAAAGGTAAAATGTTAAAATTTAAACAGAAGAATGCCACAGATTTATTATAATGTCTTCCTCTAATTAAGAGACAAGCTCAAAACTGAGGTCTAAGATTTATATTTAATTATTATTGAAGAAATTTAACAAAATCATTCTAGAATTACAAATTTTATAGAATCATTCACATACCATGCCTAATCTCTGTTGTTCTCCAAGAGAGAGAGTATCTTCCCAATTTAAATTTGCATCCCAGCCATTTGTGTCCCTTTCTAAAAGATAATTCAACCGAACATCCTCTAGGATAACTTCCAAGTGCTTGTCCAACAACTTTACAGTATCAGGATGTTTTTCACCTGAACTAGCAAGATTCTAACGATCAGAGCTAAAATGGGAAAAGCAAAATAAATTAAATGCATCTTTGAAATGATTACAAGAGAATAAAAAGAAACTAAACTGTATATTTTAAGCAACTAAATTTATATGAAAGGAAATCTTCAACGCTATAAATATGAACAACATGTAATCAATTTCATGCATTATCACGAGTCACAACTGCGGGGAAGCTAGGAAGAGAACCTATTCTCCAGTGGTGGCTAATAACCAAAAGCAAAGCAGGCAGCATCATTTTAAACTATCAAAGGAACCACTGGTGCTCACACATCATTTTAAACCTGACAAGGGCGTATCTTAAGCCAGTGATATTTTATGCACTAAAGATACCTTTTCCATACATCTTCAATGCTCTAAACTCTGCTTCATCGCGGGATAGAGGGTATATAATCTGGTCCCTCAGTGTTCCCAAGCATGTGTACGGCCGTTGAGGAACATAGAAGATGCTACAACTTGATCCAGCATCTTGATCCATACCTTCCAGTGGTCTAGAGAGTCTTCCACTTGCAATTGGCCAAAGTCCTCGAAGAACTCTGAAAATGGAACTTTTCCCACTTCCATTTGGACCTTTTGAAATATGATATGCAAGATTAAAATTCTAATCAGAATAGAATTCCCTCAACCAAGAGGGAAAATATACAAAATAACTATACAAACCAGTAACAAGCAGGCTTCCCCCAAGCTCAACATCACATGTCAACTCCCTGGCCAACATCTTCTCAGAAGGGGTAATAATATTAACATTAGAAAAGGAAATAACATCTTTAGAATGATAATCCCTCGCTGAAGATATAGCACCGCCATTAATGGATTCCCCTGTACATAAAAGAAAACATTAGCACATGAAGACAATGGTAAAGAATAACTTCTATACAAACAAGAAGATAATAATTTAAATGGCATGTTTGCATATATAACAAAGTAACAGTGATGAAGTACCAGAATGTGCTGCATCCAGAAGCTCTTCAAGCTCAAAAATCCTATTAATACCCCCAGAAAGTTCTACAAGCTTCCTATTCAATTCAAGAATGTCTCCAAAAGCTAAAAAGCTTTGAGAAACAACTGATGCTAAGAACCTCAATGCATGTGCCAGCTCGCCTGTAATATAGTACTGTGCATATCAGTGTGGAGCGAGAGAGAAATAGAGTAAGTGAGAAAAGTCGAATATTCCTACCCTGAGTACTTATCAATGCACGGTCTCCTTTGTGTTCCATAGCGTAGAACAAGCTCAGCAACCAGGTCACATTATGAGGTAGTTGCTTGGTAATGAAATCATCTAGTATACCAAACAGCCATTTCTTTTTCAGAAGGTACTGGGAGTGTGCCAGAAGGTCCTTGAATCTTGATTCAACCATCTGCACAATGTTCATAAAGTACATTTTTTAATCTACAGTGATCAAAATGCATAAACTGCAAGCTGAAGAAAAATCAATAAGCCATGCATTTCCTTTTGAACCTCCAACCTAGTCAGGTGCCTTGTATTTAGCCTAAGATCAATAAATTTTGTATAACAAAAACTTAAGCACAAGTTGTACATTTAGGCTTTGCTTGGGGGTTTGGAGGGGATAGAGGGGAAGGCTTAGAAAAAAGGGAAGGACTGAGTGAAAAAAAATAGAGGGATTTAGGTGGGAAGGGTTTTGGAGGGTTTGTTTTTATTCATAATACAATCCCTCTGATTGGGGGAACTCAAAATTTATATTGAAGGAGGGTTTTGGAGGGCTTATATAAATTTTCCAAATATATTTTATGTTGTTAAGTATTCTGAAAATAAAAAATATAATAATGATAACCACTCGTTTATCATTCTATACAAAATAATTCTTTCAGAAAATGTCAAATATTTCCCTATATTTTTTTTTAAATTCTTTTTCGGAAGCCTTACTTTCCCCTCCCCTCCAAACTCCCAAACAAAGTCTTAGGGTTTGTTTGTCCAAAGGAAGTGGTAAATGAGAATTATGAAACAGAATGAAATTCACTCAAATCGTTGTTAAAAAGGTCATGTACTGGTGAGTCTGATATTTGAGGGGTGGTATGTAATTAGTTGGACTCCATTACACTTCCAGTCATTCCACATCTGATTGTGGGAAGGAGTGAGTAAGTAACTTTCTAACTGAATTTAAAACACATTCAAATAAGCACACCCTAAAAGAAAAGATATTAAATATTGTAGAGTTGGGATGCTCACAGATTTTTCTCTAGCACCGCCTCCAAAGAAAGCAACAGATTCAGCATGAGTACAGAGTCTCTCATGCATGAACCTAGCAGAAGCAGAAGATTAAAAAAGGTCAGCATTATTTTCACAACACTAGTGCCATGATTGAGGCAACACAAACAGTTATTGGTTTACCTAAAGAGTCCTTCAAGTTGTTGCTCTTGGCTTATCAAATCACCAAAATCTGGAGTAACGGTTCTTAAAAATCCAAGGCCAAGTAACATGTAAACATAGAGTATGGCAACTCCCCTTTGACCAGTTAACATCTTCATTCTCCATGTGAACCTTGAGAAGTAAAGTCATAGAAGAAAAACATCAAATATGTTAATTCAAGTGCTAGTAAAATGCATACTGCTATGCTAGTAATAATATAATAAATCAAATTCATGAATGAATCACTCACCACAAAATATCTACGGATGGCTTTACAAGTCCAGTTACCAGTCCAGACAAGTCTGTGGTTAACTTCTCCAAATCTTGAGTTATCCTCTGATCTGCGTCAACACTTTTGCTTGCCATGTGGAAGACCTACAAAGATAAATAGACAACAGAAATTTGAAACTAAATTCCAACTTCTTCCAAAAGAGCTTCAAAACCAAATTGAAATACTTACATTATTATTCCTAACATAATGACAGAACAAATCATAATTCATATCCCTAAAATTTAAACATAAGCAATGTTCTCGAATTGTTGCTTAGGGACCATTGGTTATGTGGGATCTTTTAAGATTCCTGTGAATGAACCTTTGGGAATTTTGAACTCCTGTATTTAAAAAACTGAAATACAATTCATTCCTTCCTCAATTTTCCACATTTTTGTGAGAATATGAATCCTGCATAAAAAAAATACTTCACTATCAACCTAAGCTACCCCCATCAATACTCTTATAGTCGCGTTCTTTGTCTCCGAAAAAGCCCCTTTACAAAAAACAACTGAACTGTTCATACCTTTCTAAAAAGCATCCACCTATTTCAAAACTATCTAATTGTGGTCTATACTCCTTATTTTGAGATAAAACTTTATTTCGAATTATTAAAAAAATATCTTTCAATATAATATATAGGATGAGGACAGAATTGTAAAAATATAACAATTTTACATTTTTACTTGAGGGTAGTTTTGGAGAGTGACAAATTCCTAAGCAATTCATTTGTTAACCAAGAACAATAATTTTTTTATGAATACTAACGTATATTCCCATGGCAAAACAAACAACCACCATGCCTTCCAGTTTCCAGCTACGGTTAAATAATGTGGATCAGGATGTAAATAATCAAAGGTAAACTGAAAAGGTCAAGGAACTAAGATTAAAACTGAGTTTAATTTGATGGGGGGAATGTATAAAGCAATCATAACTACACAGTAAACTGGTCTACAAATCATTCCAAAAATAATCATATTCAAAAAATCATAGTGCAAAGTATACTCTGAGTTATCAAATAGCAACTAATATGACCAACACAGTGTGCTTGTAATGTTCAAATAATAGACGAAGGAACAAAACTAATGAATAGTTCATTTTCAATTACCTTGTAGAACACATTGCTTCTCAAATAGTTCTGTAGTAGATGTTGTGTCAAACGAATTCGCCACCCAAGGGCCAGCCTTGCTGTCAAATGCCTGAGGAGCAATATACAATTCACTCAAATTTTGATATACAAAAGAAATAATAGACCAACAAACCAGACCCCCCCTCCGCCAATTTCACTCTTCAAACTATCTATTCAGTATTCAACTTTCTCCCTTTTCATTATTATAGATATATCAGAAAAGTTCTCAGAAACTGATATGGACTTTTCTTTAGATAATCAAAAGTTTCGTCCGACAACAACCATATGTAAAATTAAGCACTGCCAATTATTAGTTGAAGATAAAAGAAATACATTCCAGATGGGTTTGTACCCAATCACCCTATTTCACACTTCAAGCTATCTATTCAACTTTCTCTTTTTCCATTTTTATATACAAAAAGAAAATTTCTCAGAAACTGATATGAACTTCTTTAGATAAAACGTTTCATCGGTAACCATATGTAACATTAGTACTATCAGTTGTTGGTTTAAGATAAAAAGAAATACAGTCCAGATGGATTTGTTCCCAATTAGGTTTTAGGGTTTGCGCCCATTTACCTTATAGAAGGCGCAATGAAAGAAGATGCAGCACTTTGAAGTACACTTAGACCAATTAACCGAATAAAGGCAACTTTATCCTGCTCCAAAACAAACTTCACAGTGGTACCTAAGAACATAAATTTTATTTTAACATTACATGCATGGAATCTCAGAATCGTGAGTAGTCAAAGATGGGAAAATACCATTAAGAGATGCAATACGATCTGAGACCCATGTTCTTGAAACAACAAGAAGAGCAACAGCAAGCAATTGTGCACCTTGCTTATCAAATACAGTGGGTACCTGAAAGCAACAGACCACATATAACATATTGCAAGCACATACATTATATAAATTTTTTATTTGGGTGGCTCATCTTAAGTCATCAATGAGAAAATGCACAACCAGCCGTGTATTTGCGTTCATTTAATCCCTATAGCATTGTAATTGCAAATGCATTACTAAAGGTAAGCCCAAATATAATATAAACTATTCATAGGCCTTCACCTAACACAGTTTAAGAATATTAGAAAACGATGAACAGTAGAAAGTAGAGAGAGAGAGAGAGAGATTGTTGTAACTGAATTTCTGTATATTTCAAATGTTAGTTACAACACTGCTCTAGCAGCAGTGTATTTATAGAGAATCCTTATATAGTCTAAACTTCAGTTTAGCTGCTCTATTTATATCCATTACCTAGTGTTTAACTAGTGTTACTCTAATATCTTCCCTTCAAGATCAAGGTCCTCCTTGTAGTAAGGAGCCTTTGTCATGAACCTGAAGTTTTGACCTGAGCTGTAAAAACCTTTGAGGAGATAGGGGCTTAATGAGGAGATCAGCATATTAATCAAATGCAGGAACAAGTTGAACTTGAAGGGTTTTGCTTAGCACTTTTTCCCTAAGAAAAAAGATGTCCAACTCCGTATGCTTGGTCTTGGCATGAAGAATTGGGTTATGAGACAAAGCTACAATGCTGAGATTGTCACTATTAAGATGTGGTTGGGCCTAATTCAACCCTACAAAACCGGCTTGTAGGGTGAGGATTGCCCCCATTTATAAGCAAATGTTCAGACCATATATTATTGGATGTGGGACTCTTAACACACCCCCTCACGTCCAGGACTGAACAACTGGAGCGTGGAAATAAATGTTGGGTGGCCCACTGGATCTTAAACGAGGCTCTGATACCATATTAAGATGTGGTTGGGCCTAATTCAACCCTATAAAACTGGCTTGTAGGGTGAAGATTGCCCCTACTTATAAAAACATGTTCAGGCCATATATTATCTGATGTGGGACTCCTAACAGTCACAAAACAGCACAGGGGTGGTGAAGGGAACCTTGAGGTCAGTAAGCAAGGATTGAAGCCATAGTATTTTAGAGGCTGAGTTGGCTAAGGCTTTGTATTCATCCTCAGTGCTGGATCTGGCCACTATGGTTTGTTTCTTTGACCACCAAGAAATGAGATTGGAGCCAAGAAATATACAAGAACCAGAGGTGGATCTCCTGTCATCAGGATCAATTCCCCAATCTGCATCAGAAAACCCCTTAAGAGACAGAGGATTTGAGTGGAGGTAGGCTGAAACAAGAGACCATGATGTAGGGTACCTTTCAAGTACCTGAGAATTCTTTTCACTGTTGTCCAATGACTGTCCAAAGAGTTGGAAAGAAATTGACAGGCTTTGTTGATAGCATAGCTAATTTCTGGTCTTGTAAGTATGGCATATTGCAGTGCCCCAACAACAAATCTGTAGAAGGTAGGTTCCTTGAGCACATTTGTCCCATGCTTAAACAGTTTCAAAATGGAAATCATAAGTGTACGTAACCCTTTAGAATCTGCCATGTTTGCCTTGGAGAGAACATCTTTGATGTATTTTGCTTGGGAAAGAAACAAAGCCATCTTTTAGAAGGGTTACTTCAATTCCTAGAAAATGCTCAAGGTTACCAAGCTGCTTGAGAGCAAATTGAGAGTTCAGTTTTTGAGTTAGTTGTTGAATGTGAGTAGGAGTTTCCAGTGATAATGATGTCATCTACATACACAAGCATATAGATAGTATAGGTAAAAGTGCTTAGAGTGAACAGGGATGGATCACGCCTGCTGGACACAAAACCAAACTTCCTTAGAGCAAGATGCAGTCAATCAAACCAAACTCTAGGAGCTTGTTTAAGCCCATATAGAGCTTTGTTTAGTTTGCATACCATGTTAGGGGCAAGAGACTCAATACCAAGGGGTTGTTCCATATAGACTTCCTCTTGAAGAATACCATTCAAGAAGGCATTATTAACATCAAGTTGAGTTAGGGACCACCCTTTTGAAATGGCAATAGTTAGCACCACCCTAACTGCTACAGGTTTTACCACTGTAGAGAAGGTCTCAGTGAAGTCGAAACCAAGTTGTTGATGGAACCCTTTGGCCACCAAACGAGCCTTGTATTTATTGATAGTTCCATCAGGATTTTGCTTGATCCTGAACACCCATTTACAACTAATTGCTTGCCTATTTGGTGGTAAAACGAGCCTTGTATTTGTTGATAGTTCCATCGGGATTTTGCTTGATCTGGAACACCCATTTACAACCAATTACTTGCCTATTTGGTGGTAAATCAGTGAGATCACAAATGTGGTTCTTAAGTAGTGTTGTGTATTCCTCCTACATAGCATCCACCCACTTAGGATCTTTAAGGGCAATCTTGTAAGAAGAGGGCTCCAACTCTGTCGGCAATAGAGTTGGGTGCCTTCTTGTTTGACCTATGCCACCCTTTCCCCTTGTGATCATGGTATGAGTATTGTGAGGGTGAATGAAAACAGGATTGGGTGTGTTAGGTAAAGGGGGACTAGGTGAGATGTGGGACACAGGTGAAGAAGATGGCTGCAAGGAAGGACTAGTGAGAGTTGTGTCAGGAGTGACATTAGTACAAATAGAAGTGGAGGATGGTGAAGAAGGGAATGCTGATGAGAGGAGAAGGTTGTGGGAGTGTTTGTCGCATGAGACCAGTGGGAAAAACATAAGAGGTTTGATTTGGAGAGGAAGCAGATACAAGAATTGAGTCATAGGCAAACATGGAAGTACAAGGAAACCTTGCCTCATTAAAGACAACATCTTTGGAGATGTAAATTCTGCCAGTGGGAGCCAAGCATTTGTAGCCCTTGTAACTTGATGAGTACCCCAGGAAAATACACTCTTGAGAGTGGAAATTGAACTTGTTAGCAGAATATGGCCTAAGGTGTGGAAAACAAGCACATCCTGCACCTCATTGTAGAGCATGAAATAAGGAGATTTCATGCCTAGTAAGAGGGTTGGAATTCTTTTGATCAAGTAGGCTGCACTTAAGCAAGCATGATCCCAGAACTTGAGGGATAAGTTAGCTTGTGCAAACCACATGCATGTACTTCCTCTCAATTGATCCATACTGATATGTGTGTGTGTGAGTGAGAGAGAGATTGTTACAACACTGCTCTAGCAGTGTATTTATAGAGAATCTTTATGCAGTCTAAACTTAGTTTAGCTGCTCTATTTATATCTATTAACTAGTGTTACTCTAATAAAGAAACATATGTACCAGCCCCCCATTTTAAATTTAGTTCGAATTCCAACAAAAACTAGGAGCTGGCATATCCATTGTCCACACTTTAAGCCTAGAGGACTCGAGTAAATGGTGGATTTTATTAAGTCACTATGACCCCTTCACTGCTGACCAACAAAATGACGGAACAATATTCTTTGGGAAGACCTTCAAGAATGATATCAAGTTATGCTTATATAGGGAGACCAGTAGGGGTGTCCGCGGTTCGGTTTAGATCGGTTTTAAAGCAAAAACTCATTTGATCCAAAGATAAATTCACTTGCGGTTCGGTTCGGTTTTAGATGATATATTAAAAAAATCCAATCCGATCCGATCCAATTTTATACGGTTTAATTTGGATCGGTTTTTGGATATCCAAATTACACATTATATTTTTATTAATATCATAAAACTACTAATAAATCATAGATTTGATATAATATATAACATATAGTATATTAAAAGTTAATATTACAAAATGAGAGTGATCGATTATGGTTGAAATAATAAAAATAAATAGATTATACCAAGCTAATAAATATTATTAAAAGAATTATTATCATCTAATAATAAATTCACATAATATATCATACTAATAAAAAATAAATAAGTATAAAAATATATGTATGCGGTTCGGTTTGATTTGGATCGGTTTTGAAAAATTCGTCTGAAATCCGATCCGAACCGATTTTTATGTATGCGGTTTTCAGTTTTTTGGATCAGTTTTCAGATTTTTATTTGGATTGGTTTGGATTTGAACACCCCTAGAGACCAGATCGCCAACTGAGAAAAGTGAATCAACAAATACTTCAATCCAATGTTAAACTCATAAGTTGTTCCATTGTCCTTCTTCGTATTCCTCAAATAAGTGCATTGTTTGCATGCAACTGCTCTAATTAGCGCACGGAAGTTATTATGAACCTGCTCCCAGATTTGATAGGGATGAAAACTGAAAACAGCCTATGACTTATGTGTGGAACTTATTAGGGAAGGTTGTAGCCAAGAGAGAAGTAATCAGTCTTGCTGCTCACAGGTCATGTAAGCATCTAGGATTTTACCTAGATCTCAGTCTCATAGTGAAAGAGCATGAAGGAATCAACGGATTAACACGGAAGGGATGGAGACGGTGAGCTTTAATCACCTGCTTAACTTATTTCCAGAATGAGAAATTTTCTGATTTAATTTCTCTAAGAGGGCATAAAAAAGGAGTTTAGTATAGATGTTGGAAAAGAAATCAACGAAGATGCGCTTTAGAAGAACTCACCAGCAGGACATACTAGTTATGCAGCATGGGATTTGCCACTGATAGAAAGGAAGACTTGATCCTTGCATACTGAATTAGGTTGAGATCAGATGCAAGATAGTTTATAGTGGATTCGAGTAAAGCGAACCCATTAATTGGGTTAACCAAACCAAAAGGTTATTATGACTAGTAAATTATAACTACTAAATGAAACATGACTTCTAACCAACTTAACTAACAGTGGGTATCATGTAAGGCAGCTACATGCAAATCTAATAATAGAATCACCCAACAGCTTAGGTTTTAGTAAGAATTGGTCTTTACACCATCTGTCAATAAGCCGAGTCAAATTTCTAAATCCTATCTACAGAAGGTGCTCACCAATACTTTGCACATTGCAGCGACTCTCAATGGAAATATCCTGGTATTACCATGAAGTTGGGGAACAGTATATGGCAAAATTGTATGATTCGTAGATGGGGATGAACATATAACATCTGAAATATACGACTCTGCCTTTGAACTTGAGAATGTAGAGTCCTGGAAGAAAATTGTGAAAACCTTCAAAACCAATGTAAACGAAGAACAATGAAGACATCACAATCAAAATCAAAAATATCTGCACCGTTTTACTCATGGCGAATGCTCGTTGAACTGCTTTTGCATCATTCTTCCTATTTGTTTCTGATGTCTTCATTGTATCAATCCCCATTTCGGTAGAAGAGTCCTCCCTGGAGTTTAAATCTTAATCTCATCAACAATAACATAACCATAAAGTTTTTCTATTACTAACATAACTAGAGTGGAACAACAATAAAAAGCATAGCTAAGTTCAAACCTTCTATAATGAACACTCCATCCTCCTTCACCATCTAAGGATAAAACCACATCATGAAATGCAACCAACGCTGGACGATGTGATATGGTAATGCATGATGTTCCCATGGCCCGAACTTTAGCACAAAACCGCTCTTCCATGTCAGTAGTGACAGCACTTGTGCACTCATCAAGAATAGCAAATTTAGGTTTGTGGTAGAAAAGTCTGGCCATGCCCAATCTCTGTTGCTCACCCAACGAAAGTTCATCGCCCCAATTTACCTCTTTTTCAGACGGGTAACGGTCCAACAGGTATTCAAGGTCAACCTGGAACACATACACATGCAATTTTAGTGAATGATAACAATATATCAACAAAATTATCAATAAATTGCTACATATGTACGTGGCAATGAGAAAGACATGGGGTTAGCTGTGAACTTTACATTTTTCAAAAGCTCCACCATCCCATAATCTGTGAGTGGTTCAACCTCCTGATTGGCAGTAAGAGGATAAATCAACTGATCACGAAGTGTTCCCACAGCAGTGTATGGTCTTTGAGGTACATAGAAAATTTCTTTATTAAGATCAGAGCCAATGCCAGGTTTCACAATATGTCCAGATATCAAAGGCCAAAGACCGCCTAAAACCCGGAAAAGCGAGCTCTTTCCACTTCCATTTGGACCTTAAGCAAAAGAATTGTCAATAACATGTCAAACTATCAACCGTTACAAATATTATTTTACAACGACTTTTGCAACAGAAGAAATGCATAATAAGATAACATCGAGAAGAGACTTCAGCTGGCTACCTGTAATCAAAAGATTAGATCCTGGTTCAACCTTGAGAGTCAAATCATCCACCAAGACATTACCAGTAGGGGTCACGACCTGATTTTTGGGAGCAAAATCGCTATTAAAACATTAAAAACACAACTAGTCATGGTTGATAGATGATTGGACGGATTTGACTTGCCTTGACATTAGAAAACTCAATGTAGTTAGCTTCGCTTATGCAATTTTTACTTCCTTTTCTTTGCAGGGATGATTTCTCATCTACCAAGCTTAGCTCCCTTGAAACAGCCAGTAACTCATAAATGCGATCAGCATACCCACTGTAACACATACATATAGGTCAGAACTTCTAGGAAGACAATATGAACCTTATGAAGGAATTACATATAATCCACGCTTAATGAGTAGCGAACCAATAAAAGCCTCTAATATCAATTTATAAAGAGGAAAGGAAAAAAATATCAAATATACCTAAGACGATTGAGCCGTCTTGCGCTGATAGAAAGAGTTCCTAGAGACTGAAATAAGGAAACTATGACACTGGTGTGATATCTTAGATTGCTTAACATCTCTGCACGCCCTAAAGTTGAACTGTCGGGCCTTAGATGACCAGAAAAGAAAGGTTCAATAATCAAAATAACAGCAAAAGTTGCACCAAGGTATTTCAACAAAAAGTCCTGAATCATGCCAAACCACCAATGGTCATGTAGCACTCTACTCATGTGCCTAACCAAAGTCTTAAATTTTTGTTGAATATGAGCTTCTTCTCTCTTCTCTCCACCATAAAATGCTATACTTTCTGAGTGAGTCCTTAATCGTGAGTGAAGCTGCCGGTACTCTCCCTCCAGTTGCTGTTCTGTGGACATAAGTTTCCCAAACGAAGGAGAGAAGTTTCTGATTGCAGCCCCGGCTCCAAGTACATAGGCCTGAAAAGGCCAAAACAGTAGATTGAGAAAAGTGATTCTAACATCATATCAAAGCTGTAAAAGCATCTAGCAATTAGCAAAAACTCCAAAAGTATGAGCAGAAGCTGCTGTGAGAAATCTATTTAAAAGTATAGTTCAATTACTGACATACCAATATCCAGAAGACATATTTTGGGCTAGCATACGAACAAAGCCGCCAAGTATATAGAAGTCCATCAGCCACTGCTGTTAGATCATCTTGGACAATTTCACTCAACTCTGAACAGAATTTCGGCACATCACTAGCAATTCTTTGCTCTGGGTTTGCTATCCGACGATCGACATGTGATATTTTGTAATATACCATGTTCTGAAAGAAAAATAAACAATAAACATTCAGCAACACTATCGACTAAAAAGGCTAACTATGAATGCTGTCAATGCATACTAAATTACTAAGAATTCTAACGTATCTATTGGATAGTGGAAAGTTGATAACTAATCATAGGTATGCAATTCAACATTTTATACCTCAAAATAATGGGAATGAATAAGCTTTGTCAGTAATTTTCTGAAATGAAGACTCAAAGTCCCTGTTATATACTTTGATGTAGAATGAATTGTTGACAAGAGGAAGCACAGAATAATATTTTCTGAAATTAACCGAAAAAACAATGGTGCACGCCGAAGAAAAGCAGCACGAAATAGGAAGCCTTGCACTTTAGCTAGCCTGTTGCTCAAAGCAGTTCGCAGCACCTGTAAAAATGTAAATGTCATTGGTTTAAACTTATTATTCGTTACTATTGGTGGATGGCTGGAGAGTCAACTAAAATATTTGTTATTGTGGCAAGCAACGCATCACTAAGCCAGGACTGGCTTATATAATTTCAAACATAAATAGAAGGAATCAAATACCATGACGAATACTTGAATATGTGCTAAATTGTTATTATTATTATTATTATTATTATTATTATTACTATTACTATTACTATTATTATTATTATTATTATTATTATTATTATTATTAGAGTTATATCTTAGAATATGAATAATCAGCACTATAGAATAATTAAGTCCAGCCTTGATTTAATAGAATAAGAAAAGTCTTCCTTAATTGTAGAGCTTGAATGATTCAACTCTTGAATGTTCATCTCCTCTTGTATAAATAGAGCATAATGCTCCTTTCCAATTAAGCAATAACAGAATCTGTTTCTCTCTTTTCTCTTTTAGCTTTTTCTCTCTTCTCTCTCATATCTCACTCTAATATGGTATCATAGAGCTTCGGTTCTATCCATGGCAGCGATTCCAGTAACTACAGCTCCGGCCACCCCAACATCTATGTCCTTCCAACTCAAAATCACAGAAAAACTTGATGAGAAGAATTTCCTACTTTGGCGCCAACAAGTAGATCCTTTCGTTAACGCGAACAATCTTCAAAACTACCTTTACCTTCGTGACATACCGAATCAATACCTGACTGATGAAGATCGTGCCGCTGCTCGTGAGAACCCTGCGTATCGCACCTGGATTACGCAAGATCAGTGGCTTATGACGTGGCTTCAATCCACGCTTTCACCTTCAATTCTTTCACGTGTTCTTGGATGCATTCATTCCTACGAGCTCTGGGAACGTATTCTTGCGCATTTTCAAAAACTTACACGTGCGAAAGCAAGACAACTACGAGCGGAACTCAGATCTACAACACTTGAAGACAAATCTGTTGGTGATTATCTGGTTCGCATCAAAGCGCTTGTTGACGCGCTTGCTTCAGTAGGAGATCCAGTTCCAGATCAGCAACACATTGATGTGATTCTTGAAGGTCTTCCTCAAGACTTTGCCTCTGTTATTTCAGTTATTGAAAGCAAGTTTGATTCAGTAGAACTTGAAGAAGTTGAAGCTCTTCTTCTTGCTCATGAGATGAGATACAACAAGTATAAGAAACACTCACAAATGGAGGTGGCTGCCTCAGTGAATCTCACTCAAGCCAATTCTCAACCTGAAACTGATAACTCGAATAACAAGAACAATGAACAAGCTGTGAATTCAACCTTTAATCCAACCTATTCAAGAGGAGGCCGTGCAGCTGGCCGTGGTGGTGGACGCGGCCGTGGGAGAGGTAGGTTCAGCAACATTCAATGTCAAGTTTGCTTCAAATATGGTCATCTTGCTGCTAACTGCTATCATAGGTTCAATCAACAATTTCAACCTAACATACCTGCTGATTTTCAAACAATGAACCTACAAAATTTCTATCCGTATCAACCAATTGGTGGACCTCAGTTTGCTCAGCCCATGGTTAACACTCGGTCACGCCCAAGCTATCAACCAAGACTTGCCCCTCTCCCTGTTCCTCAGTCACATATCACTCCCAATGCTATGATTGCTAACACAACTTCAGTTCCAAGCAGTGCCTGGTTCCCAGACTCAGGAGCTTCTTATCATGTTACCAATGCCTCTCAAAACATACAGCAAACCACACCTTTTGAAGGTCCTGATCAGATCTTCATTGGTAACGGTCAAGGTTTGCACATTCACTCTTCAGGCTCTTCTTATTTTCCTTCTCATTCTAAACCTAACACTCCATTAGCTCTTCATAATTTACTGCTTGTTCCTTCTATTACAAAGAACCTGATAAGTGTCAGCAAATTCTGTCTTGATAATAGAGTTTTCTTTGAGTTTCATGCTGATATGTGCTATGTCAAATCTCAGGCTACCAATGAAATTCTGCTCCAAGGTCGTGTAGGAAGTGATGGCCTGTACCAATTTTCCCATCTTCAGCTTCTTAAGTCTCCTTCAACAAGTCAAGTCTCATGTCTCACCTTAGACTCTAATGCTCATGTTTCAAGATCTGATTCCAGCACTAGTGATAGGGTTTCAGTTTCTAATCAAAATGTATCAGCTAATAACTCATATAATTCTCAACATACTTGGCATTTACGCCTTGGTCATCCAAATTCTAATACTATGAGACTTGTTTTAGCTCAATGTAATATTCCTTATTCTAATAAAGCTGAATCTATCTTTTGTTCTGCCTGCTGTATGGGAAAGGCACATAGGCTGCACTCCCCTCAGTCACAAACTCAATATCACTCTCCTCTTGAATTAATTTTCAGTGACCTATGGGGTCCTGCCCCAGTCAAATCCTCCCAAAACTTTACCTACTACATCACCTTTGTTGATGCATACACCAGATTTACTTGGATCTATTTGCTCAAAAATAAATCTGAAGCCTTAACTATCTTTAAACAATTCAAAGTCATGGCTGAATTACAATTTGGATTTCCTATTAAATCTGTCCAAACTGATTGGGGTGGTGAATTTTGCCCATTTACAAAGTTTCTTTCTGATCTTGGCATTATTCATCGCCTAGTTTGCCCTCACACTCATCACCAAAATGGTGTAGTGGAGAGGAAGCATAGACACGTTGTTGATCTTGGTTTAACCCTCTTGAGTCATGCCTCTTTACCTCTCAAATTTTGGGACCATGCCTTTTTAACCGCTGTCTACCTAATAAATAGGTTACCAACCATGTCTCTCAATCAACATATACCATATGCTGTCCTTTTCAATCAAAATCCTGACTATAAATTCCTTAAAGTCTTTGGGTGTGCTTGTTTTCCTCTCCTTCGCCCATACAACTCTCAAAATTTTGACTTTAGATCCCACGAGTGCCTTTTTCTAGGGTACTCTACAGCTCACAAAGGTTACAAATGTCTCTCTCCAAGTGGTAGAATATTCATCTCTAAAGATGTTCTTTTCAACGAGTCCAAATTTCCTTACAATGATCTTTTTTCCTCTAATGTTTCTCTCCCCTCATCAACCATTCCATCCTCCTCCTCATCTAAAGTAACCCTTAACACACAAGCTCTCCCTCATGTTTTTCCCGTTCCTACTGCTTCCACTACCTCACACTCCTCTTCTTCTTCTCAATCCAATTCCAGCCCCACACCTATTGTCTCACACTCCTCTTCTTCTTCTCACTCCAATTCCAGCCCCACACCTATTGTCTCACACTCCTCTTCTTCTTCCCAATCCAATTCCAGCCCCACACCTACTGCCTCTGGGTCAGCAACCCCTATAACACAAACAGCCAGCACTAATCCTACTCCTTCACCCTCTTCAAATGCCAACAATCAGCCTACTACTACCACTTCACTATCCTCCTCCTCTATTTATGCTCCTAGGGATCCTAACCTTCAGCCTCTCCCCACCAATACTCATCCTATGACTACTAGAACTAAATCTGGTGTACCCTTACCTCGTCTAAATCCTTCCATTTTTCTTGTCAATTCTGAGCCTAAGAGTGTTAAAACTGCTCTCCAAGATCCTAAGTGGTTTGCTGCTATGCAAGAGGAGTATGGTGCCTTGATAAGGAACAACACTTGGTCTTTGGTACCACTGCCTGCTAACAGGAAAGCAATAGGCTGCAAGTGGGTTTTTCGTGTAAAGGAAAATGCTGATGGGACAGTAAATAAGTACAAAGCTAGGCTTGTTGCTAAGGGGTTCCATCAAGTCCATGGATTTGACTTTAATGAAACTTTCTCCCCTGTTATTAAACCGGTCACAATTAGAATTATTTTGACTCTTGCTCTAACTTACAATTGGCCTTTGCAGCAGTTGGACATAAACAATGCCTTTTTGAATGGCATTCTTGAAGAGGAGGTCTATATGATGCAACCCCCTGGATTTACTGCCCCTAATTCATCTCTGGTTTGTCACTTGCACAAGGCCTTGTATGGCCTAAAACAAGCCCCGAGGCAATGGTTTGAAAGACTCAAAACCACTCTTTTATCCTTTGGCTTTCTAAACAGCAAGTGTGATACTTCACTTTTCATCTACAAGCATCACAATGCTGTCATTTATATGCTGGTTTATGTTGATGATATAATCATCACAGGAAACTCCCCTCCTCTCATCAAGCAAGTTACTCAACAACTAAATCATGTGTTTGCTCTCAAACAACTTGGTGACTTGGATTATTTTCTGGGCCTTGAGGTGAAGAAATTGTCCAATGGAAATCTCCTTCTCACTCAATCTAAGTACCTAAGGGACTTGCTAATCAAAACTGATATGGAGAATTCCAATCCAGTTGCTACTCCTATGGCTTCCTCCACCAAACTCATCAAAACAGGGTCTGCTGCCTTGTCTGATGCCTCCCACTACCGGTCCATTGTAGGGGCCCTGCAGTATGCAACAATTACACGGCCAGAAATCTGCTATGATGTTAACAAAGTATGTCAATTCATGGCACACCCCTTGGAGTCCCATTGGCTAGCTGTCAAGCGTATTCTGCGCTACCTAAAAGGAACTATCACCTCTGGTTTATTGTTCACTCCAGCCTCCACTGTTCCGTTCTCTCTGCAAGCCTATTGTGATGCTGATTGGGCTGCTGACCCAGATGATAGAAGATCCACCTCTGGGTCAGCTGTGTACTTAGGCCCTAATTTGATCTCTTGGTGGTCCAAAAAGCAAACTGTTGTTGCTCGTTCTAGTGCTGAGGCAGAGTATCGCAGCTTGGCTCACACCACAGCTGAAGTTTTATGGGTTCAAACTTTGCTAGCTGAACTAAAAATTCCCTTGACAACTCCAACCATCTATTGTGACAACCAGAGCACAGTTGCTATGGCTCATAACCCTGTTCTTCATGCAAGAACAAAGCATATGGAAATTGACCTCTTTTTTGTAAGAGAAAAGGTGATTAATAAGTCTCTCACTGTCTGCCACATTCCTGGTGTTGACCAGAAGGCTGACATCCTCACCAAGCCTCTCTCATGTTCAAGATTTATGGAGCTCAGCAGCAAGCTCAACCTGTCTGCCTCAAGTCAGCCTTTGCAGCCACCTTGAGCTTGTGGGGGAGTATTAGAGTTATATCTTAGAATATGAATAATCAGCACTATAGAATAATTAAGTCCAGCCTTAATTTAATAGAATAAGAAAAGTCTTCCTTAATTGTAGAGCTTGAATGATTCAACTCTTGAATGTTCATCTCCTCTTGTATAAATAGAGCATAATGCTCCTTTCCAATTAAGCAATAACAGAATCTGTTTCTCTCTTTTCTCTTTTAGCTTTTTCTCTCTTCTCTCTCATATCTCACTCTAATAATTATTATTATTATTATTATTATGGCTCATCTCAACACAAAAAAAAAAAGTCTGAGCACAAAGCATAATCTTCCACAAGAAAACACCCTTACCACTGTGGCAACTAGAGCTAAAAGATTCTTCACACCTAACTGACCCATCTCAGATAGAAGAATTGCAGTGAGGACTTGAAGTGACTTCAAGCCTCCTTTCTTTTGTTTATTTTTTGGTGTAGTTGAGTCATTTATAACCTCATCCTTTGTTACTTCTTTGTTGCTGTTGTGATCATTGCAATGGCCAAACAAATCATGTTTATTAACTCTAGACCTTGATTGCATATATGCAGCTGTTCCACCAGCAATTAAGATACCAGATGCAAGTAGTATAGCTTTCCTGTCATTAACCACATGAAGAAAGCATCAACAATAATACAGTATACATGCAAACAAGTTAAAAACCTAATGATTTTATTAATAACATGATCAACCCGGTTATGGAATGAGTAAAAAGATACTACTATTAAGACAAGGAAACATGGCTATCATCAATGTAGAGGATAATATGATATTTTATGCAAAACCAACACAGAAATGAGATGCATTGCCCTTAAAATGGAACAGAAACAATGAGAAGGAAATTGTAAGATCAAATATGAAACTTTAAACGGATGCTTCAGCCTCAGAAAGATTTGTCTCTGTTGGAAATAGAAAAATAAATTGTATGTTTTCCACTAAAATGAGCATTTAAGTCTTAGGTTCATGTATATTTAGATTCATGCATTTAGGGAGTTGAGCTATTATTTATTTCTCCTAGTAAACATAATATGTAATTAATTATATAGTGTGTATAAATATTAAGGTTGTTGAGTGCTTTACTCACTCAAGCACATTCAGAAAATTTCTTATTCCTATTTTTCACAGTCTCCTTCTTGGACCCATCTGATTGCAACTAAGTTTCACTGAGTGTGGTGAAAAGAGCACTTAGAGAGTGTGTTGTTAGCATTTATTTAATTCATAATTACTAGTTTCTAACAAAATAGCGTTAAAAGTCTTAAGATGGGAGTAGAGGGGTTTTGAAATAGTAGAAACAATATGCTGCCGCTTAATCTTTTATTTTTGCATGAAACAATTGTCAGTGTAGTTCTGTTGCAATTCCCATTATCATGTTTTTGAACTTTTTTTTCAATTTCATTGAGAATGCAATAAAAAAGACAATCAAAATGAAGAAAACTTTGAACAAAATGGAAACCATGCGTAAATCAGAACTTACTAGACATTACGGGAAAAAAAAGCTGACAAAACAGAAAACTTGATATTTAAGTTAATATTGAAACAGAGTTACGCAAATAATAATAAGGCAAATTCAATGCTACGTATAAGATTAAGAATCACGAAAAGAAACATATACAGTTCAATACCTCCTCGAAGCCAAAAAACTCTGGCCATGCCGAGTTAGTTTCAACAGCTGAAGGGAAGGCATGGCAGAAGATCTACCTCTCCCTTATTTATCAAAGAATAGAATAGTTGTAGCTGCTCCTCTTACAGTCAGGAGCACGAAAAATCTAGCTTGGATGATAATCCAACAAAAAACAATAGGTAAGTAAACAGAATAGCAGGAGTTATAAGTCTTTAAGCAAAGTAACATGCTTAGGCACATCATGCTCCCCATATTAATGAGCGGTCCATCTTCACGCCAAATTATGTGAATACAATACTGAGATACATATCTTTAATAACTAGGGATCATAGTGCTCTAAGGAAACATAAAACATAAGCTCAACAAATCAAAAGCTTAACTATAGAATCAAGTTTTGCAATTAGAAAAGTGTGTGTATTGCAACATGCAAGTGTTATTTATTTAAGCATGATAGCAGTCGTAGACTTTCATGCATAGGCAACAAAATTAAGGCATATTTGTGTATCTAAAGATTAGCCTATCCCTTAGTGGAGAACATATTCAAACAATTTGTGAAAGGAAGAAAAAATGATAAACGAAAATATAGCATTCATCAAAAGTTAAAAAGTGTTTGCTCTAACCTTGACTGAGAGCCCTGCAATAGACAGTGACAACTGACAAGGCAATGATTGTGTGTGTTATCAATAGATTTGGACAACGTGTTGATCATACACAACAACAACTAATTCTTATCCCACTAAGTGGAGTCGGCTACGTGGATCAAACCACGCCATAACGTTCTATCAATTATCATACTTCTATTAACTCATATATTTCATAATTTCTTTTAGTTTTTCTGGGTCTTCCTTTAGTTGTTTGACTATCTTTCCTCGAATCAATTCTCCTTACTACATAATTCATAAGTCTTCTCTCAACATATCCAAACCACCTAAGCTCAGTTTTCACCATCTTTTCTACCCCAAGTCTCTCTAATGTTGTCATTTTTAATCTTATCCCGTCTAATCTTACCCCACTTTAAACGCAACACCCTCATTTCTTCTACATTGAATTTATTTCCATGTTTGTTCTTTATAGCCCAACACTGTCATATACAACAACGCCGGTCTTACCGATGTTTGATAAAAAAAATTCCCTTCGGTTTGAATGGTACTTTTGTATCACATAAAAACCTAGGACCTTTCTCCATTTCAACCACTCAATTTGAATTTAATGGTTTACATCTTCTATTTCTCAAATATGATCTCAAACTTTTACCTTTAGTTTAAAAATTCTTCCTCTCTCTGCTAAAATCACATTCTATACTGTCTTGCTTATGCCCAAGTAAAAAAACATGGGTTGCATGGTTATTCTTAAATAGTTGCCAAATCCATGACCCAATAATTAAGTAGTACAAGCCAGTCCATGTAAAACACAAGTTTTGTTAAAAAGTAATTAGGCTTGCTTCAAAACTTCTGCCTTGTTTAAATATTTATAATTTCAATTTTTTTTAATGCCTCTTATGATTTCAATTACTTTATGGTTTACATTTTCATGCTTTTTATACAATATCATAATGTACAAATACCCTAATTTTTAGAAATTTCGCCATACCCATATTGGTAGGTAGGTTACTCATACCCACCCGTGTCCAAACAACCAAACACTTAGTTAAAAAAAATTAGTCTTTCGCACAATTAATAGCGTATTAACCATAAATAAATCATGTAGAAACAGAAAACTAAACCACCGACACGGTAGTATTAATCATACACTAAAGCCAACAAAAAAAAAACTAACCTTCAAAGCTCGATAGTGTTAACCATGCCCAATCCAAAAGCCTCTGTAAGAGAGTATATCACACCTTACAGAATATAAAATCCAATCTCAGAACGAGTCGCAAACATTTGTTAGCATTGACAATTACTGATTATCGTCGAAACCAATTTCAGCAACGATCCGCGTTTGCAGTAATGATCTGCAATAAAATTTTCAACGATTAACAAATCGGATACATTAAAATTAAGATTCAAACTATAGAAAGCAAAGATGTGAAATCAGCAACAGGTGAAAGAACTAAAGAAGAAAAAACAATAGATTTTGATGAATATTCGATTGAATTACGTGGAATTGGAGATTTACCGATTGAGAAGAACACAAGGTGTTTGAAAAAATTCCGCAAAGTGATTTTCGAGAATATATGGGAGAGATTGGAAGGTGATGCAAGATAACGAAACGAAGTTCACTTTCAGTGGTGATCGGGTCGGGTTTTTGGTGGTTTATTTTGTTGGTAATCGAATTCAATGTGATCGCTGACGGGTTTGGTTTGGATATTGGAACCAAGCGAAGCGATGTACAGTACGAACACCTACACTATTGTGTTCCCTGGCGATTATTTTGATGTGACCTGAAAAAAAACTCATAAATATTTATCATAATATTTATTTAAATTATTTAAAATATCTTAAATATAAATTAAGTTCAAAATTATTTTTTTAATTATATTAGTATGGTAGTAAAATGTATTTATTATCATTAATAATTGATTAGGTTAGTGTGATTCAAGAAGACGTGTGGATAATAAATGCATAATTGGATAATGGTTAAAACCGATATTTTAGGTTATGTTAGTTAATAGCAATAAACTAAGATACCATCAAAATAAATGTACTAGTATTTGATATATTAGGAAAATTTTAATTAGTATTTTTTTTAAGAAATCAAAATGGATTAATAATTATAACAATTCTATAAAATAATGTGTACCACAGAAGTTGTAAGAGTTTATAATAAAAGTCGCATATTAAAAGCTATAACATCACTGGATTTCCATACAAACAAAGGGATTATACCACCACAAATGAAATCCATTAATACACATAGCATCTTTAGTCTTTATCCACCAAAAAGATATTAACTTAACTTTATCAATTAATTGAGTAATAGATGACTCTTTAGAGTTAAACAACATATTATTCTTTTTTGTCCACAACACTAATATAGTAGTGAGCCATATTAACCGTAAAAACTCATGAGACGTAATATTACTACATGTAGAGTGAATAAACTGATAAAAGTGATTCTTTAAATTAAGAGAATTTACTCCATCAATACCAATCCAGAGTTGAACATGCGGCCAAAGTGAGCTAAACAAGTGGCACCAAAGGAAAAAGTATTGAGTTGTCTTCGCATTTCTACAACCCGTAACGCATAAGTAATCTTCATTAGATATAATACCATGGTTGACCAAGTTTACCTTTGTAGGCAACCTATCACGCAACAACCGCCACACACATATTGAAACCTTTGAGGGAACCTGCTTATGTCAAACATCGTCCAAAAACGACACCACTTGTTGATCTTCTCATCTAGTGAGCTTATGATAAACATCATTAACAATATAAGTTATACCTTCAGAAAGCAACCACCTTCATTCGTCATGAAAATTATCCTGTCAAGAGACATCAAGAAATAATATCCCAAGCTAACAATCTATGTCGCCACCTCTATGCCCCTCCCCTAACTCCTCAACCCAAAGCAAACATATGCGCTATCGAATCTCCTTTAAACTCTGACAACTGATAAAGACGACTAAATCTCTCGCAAAAAGGCATCTCACATACCCAAGTATTCGTCCCAAAAAAAGTATGAGCACCATTCCCCACCTTCCTCCTCACATTCTCATGAAACCAACTTCCCCCTCTACACCCCACCCACTTGAACCCGACACATATCCATCCACCAATTGGAATAACTTCTACCTTCTTCTGTCACCTGCCCCTCCTCCACCCCATACCTAGCTTCTAACACTTTGACCCATAAGCCATCTCGCTCTACTAGTAACCTTCAGCACCACTTACCTAACAGAGTTATATTAAACTCTTTGAGCCTCCTAACCCCTAACCCTCCAAACTCCTTATTTTTACAAATAGTTTCCCAGTTAACCCAAGCAATTTTCTTATGATTTTCACAACCACCCCAAAAGAAATTCATAAAAATAGAATCTAAGAAAGTGATGATACCTTCGGAAACTTTGAAAAAAGAAATAGCATAGATAGGCATAGAAGCAAGGACAGACTTCAAAAGGATTAAACGGTCTCCAAACGATAAATTCCAACTTTTCCACCTGGATAACCTAGATTTAATACGGTCCAATATAGGATTCCAAAAAGCCAACCTTCAAGAATCACCACCAATCGGAAGGCCCAAGTACATAAAAGGTACCCTCCCAACTCTACAATGTAACAAAAAGGTTGCCTCAACCAACCAAGACTTTGAAATTTTAATACCTACCAGCATACTTTTGTGAATATTAACTTTCAAACTCGACATAGCTTTAAACAGCACAAGAACAACCCTCAAAGCTCTAACATTAGCCCAACTCTTGACCCTCATAAGCAAGGTGTCATCTATAAATTGTAGATGAGAAACAACTTTTGTAAATTCCCTACCTATAATGTATCCCGTAAATAGATTGGCATTTCCATTGATGCCATTAAAACATACAACCCTTCTACTGCCAAAAGGAAAAGAAAATGAGATAATGGGCCACCATGACACAACCCCCGCTCAAAATGAAACTCCTCTGTAAGACTACCATTAACTAACATGGATGCTGAATCAGATCCAATGCACTCCTTCATCCACTTCCTCTATAGTGACGAAAAATACATTTTAGCCATAACAACATCTAGATAACTCCAATCCACAGAATCATATGCCTTTTCAAAATCCACTTTGAATAATGTAACACCCCAATTCTATCCGACAGTCATTATAAAAATCAGAGTTATAAAAATTCAACAATTAAATCAGGATGCTACAATCTCCACTTAAAACAACGGAATTCATTAAGATACATAACACATTACACTTGGATGAACTAACAACAACATAAATTAATCCTTTGAAACCAACAACTTTCATAACTATGCAGCGGAATCATAATATTTAACTAAAAAGGGCATAACATCTTTATCCAACTGAAACATCTCCAAATAACAAGTACATAATGAAAATCAACTTAAAATTCAACAACTAAAGTAATAACAACGATAAACCAACAAGCGTTCATCTCCACTGAGTGTTACGTATCAGAGCAATGACACTGACTCGAACTACTGAAGGTAAACCGCCTTCACTCTGGATTACCTGGATGTTGCCAATATATGGGTAACATTCAAACAGAAGGGTTGAGATATCGAACATTATAATAGAACGCATGATAAATAATACGTTAGAAACAATTCATACCAAATCACCACTTTGTAGCCATTTAACCACATTATCATCATGAATTCATCCACACGACAACTCAGAATGCAACATGGAATGCGACTTGTTTTTATGCACATGCGTGTGGTACCAATGGAGCAGAACTCCCAACTTTGAAATCTGCCAATAAATAGAGGCATCAACAAGGCATAAGCCTTCAACTTAATATTTTTCCAATCCAGACCAACTTAACAAGCATCAAGTCCAACTTGATATGTGATGTATGCGACACAACATGAATGTAGAAACAACAACAAGAAACAACAACTCAACATAAATCAATGTTGGCCATAAGCCTATAACATCAACAATAATTCAACATCAACTTAACATAATTCAACTTTGGTCGTAAGCCTACAACTTAATATTTGCCCATAATTAGAGGTATCTCAACATAATTCATCAATATGTAATTTCTCAACTCAGAACAACTTACACAACACTGGTATCGCCCAAAACAGCATGCATAGGCAATAGGGATAGGGAGACTACGTACCCCTCGACATGCACATCAACCAAGACATAATAATAACTAATTTGCGCTCCTTGACACATCTTGCAACTTTGTGCAGCTCGACAATAATATTGTGCTCCTCAACACGCCTTGTAGCCTAATGTCGCTCGACATCCAACACATGTATTCCCCGACACACCTTGCAGCCTAAATGTTGCTCAAAACCTAACACCATCAACATTCCTCCTCGACTACTAATTCTGGCCAACAACATGGAACAATACAATCGTCATAACGACCATATCAATACAACCCATAATTTTTGGCCAACCGCTCAGAGTACCACAACAACAAGTAACTATATTTCCTATCAAAAAATTCATTAATTGTACAAGACAGTCACGCAGAAACCTTCCTAAAACGACCACAATAATAATTTACTACTTTCTTGCCAACCGCTCGGAAGATACAACAACCTACTGACCACATCAAAAGGTAATAATCTACACTAACCTATTCATCGATTATACCGTGCAATTAAATAGACAACTCAAAATGCCTACAACATGACTAACGACAAACTTCAACAATAGGTTCACTAATCATGCAAGACAGTCATACGGTAACTCCCTAAATGACCACAACATAGAAAACGAGAAGCCTCAATAACATATCCAGAAACATCAACACACAAAAGTCATACAAACGACCAATTCCCACATAATACACATCATAAATCCCATTATAAGGTAAAACCCCACCATTACCTGAACTGAAGGTATCTCTACCAAACTCTCAACCGAAAACCTTGTTTTGCTCTGCTCGACAATCGTGCAACTTGCTCCTCTCTCCGTGCAGCCTTTACTGTCAGCGCACAAAACCCTTAATCTCCAACTAAACCAAATCCTTGTGTCAGCTTAACCTCATAACATCAATCCTATTGGGCCTAACCTACACACCCCCACTTTACTACTTCCAACCAATAAAATAGGCCCAACGCGAATATTATATTAATTCCAACATTACTATTATTATTATTAATCAACTAATTAATTAACTAATAATAATCTAGAAACTTATACCAATAATTCTCAACATCTCACAACTTCAACAAATAATTCGAAAATAATTTAATTAAATAATTAATTAAATAAATGGGCGTTACAACTCTCCCCCACTTAGAATATTTTCATCCTCGAAAATTTACCTTATTTGAACAACTCAGGATAGGAGTCTCGCATCTTGCTTTCCAACTACCTCGTCATGCTTTCTCTGACAGCTCCTAACCAGACTACTTTCACCAAAGAAATCTCTTTGCGTCTTAGAGTCTTCATTTCATGATCTGCGATTCGTACAGGCATCGTCTCCACAGTGAAATTATCCCGTACTTGCACATCATCCATATGAATCACATGAGATAGATCTGAAATATACTTCTGGAGTTGTGACACATGAAACACATCATGAAAATTCGAAAGATTGGGCGGTAAAGCCACTCTATAAGTAACATTCCCAACTCTTTCTGAAATCTGATACGGACCAAAAAAATGAGGAGTGAGCTTCTTAGACTTCAATGCTCGCCCAACACCAGTCACAGGTGTAAATCTCAAAAATACATGGTCACCTGCTTGAAATTATAAATCTTTCCTTCGCTTGTCATGATAACTCTTATGTCTACTTTGGGAATCTTTCATCTTTTCTCGAATTAACTTTACCTTCTCAGTAGTCTCTCGAACAATTTCATGTCCAAGCACTACACTTTCTCCAGACTCATGCCAACATAAAGGAGTTATACATCTCCGACCATACAACGTTTCAAAATGTGTCATTCCAATACTAGAATCGTAATTATTATTATAAGTGAACTCTATTAACGGAAGATAAGTATCCCACGAACCTCCCTGCTCAAGAACACATGCTCTCAACAAATCTTCCAACGATTGAATAGTCCTCTCTGTCTGACCATCCGTCTGAGGATGATACGCCGAACTCAACCTCAACTTAGAACCCAACGCCTCTTGCAGACTCTTCCAAAAATCTGAAGTAAACCTTAGATATCTATCTGACACAATTCACAAAGGAACACCATACATCTTTACAATTACACTAGTATAAATCTCTGTCAGCTTTGACACTGGAAAACTAATGTTAATAGGAATAAAATGAGCCGACTTCGTAAGCCTATAAACAATCACCCAAATTAAATCATGTCCTCTTAGAGTATTAGGTAATCTCGTCACAAAGTCCATCGAAATGCTATCCCATTTCCATTCTGGAACTTCTAACGGTTGCATCAACCCTTGGGGCTTCTGATGTTCAACTTTCGACTTCTGTAAAGTTAAACATGCATACACAAACTGAACCACGTCACTCTTTATTCCAGACCACCAAAAGAAATTCTTCAAATCTTGATACATTTTTGTAGCTCCCGGATGAATACTTAACTTGCTTCTATGACTTTCCCTGAGAATCACTCTTTTCATTTCTACATCATCCGGAATACAAATTCGAGTACGGAATCTCAACACACCTTACGCATCTAACTTGAAATCATTATTCTCATAATGATCGACATCAACCATCAAATCTACCAATTTCACATCTAACTTATGATCTTCTTTGATTTTATCCAGAAAATCATTATTAATCTTCAACATCCCCAACATAACACATTGCGGTGTCACCTTGCAAATTAAGCTCATATCTCTTAACT